TAATATACTAATACTTTTAGTAAAAGTATTTATCTTCAACTCGCAATCTGTGGATTCTATTCGATTAGATAGATTCAAATTGTATGTTAAACATCACAGCATAGCTGAAAGATATACATGGTGAATTGTGGATGATGAGAGAGGCCTGTATCACATAGGTACACGTCATTATGAAGGAAATTGGGAAAAAAATCAGAAACAATTGGGGGATTTTAATAGAATTTGCAAAGATGGTGGAAAAAATATTGTCACAAAAACAACAAGATTTTCTTCAATGACCTGACTCTTTTTAAGAGGCTCCTCTTTCCCTGTTACCTGATTATGGCACGTGTTTGAACATGTTATCATAAAAGACACTTGTCCACAACTCACACACACTCCAAACATATGGCCAAACAAGGCTGTAAAGGACACGAGTGCCTTACAGGCTGGGAAGACTGAATCTGCAATAGGTAAGCAGCTTGGTTTGAAGAAATCACTGTGGGAGCAATTATTAGGAAATGGAAGACATACAAGACCACTGATAATCTCCCTCGATCTGGGGCTCCACGCAAGATCTCACACCGTGGGTCAAAATGATCACAAGAACGGTGAGCAAAAATCCCAGAACCACACGGGGGGACCTAGTGAATGACCTGCAGAGAGCTGGGACCAAAGTAACAAAGCCTACCATCAGTAACACACTACGCCGCCAGGGACTCAAATCCTGCAGTGCGAGACGTGTCCCCCTGCTTAAGCCAGTACATGTCGAGGCCCATCTGAAGTTTGCTAGAGTGCATTTGGATGATCCAGAAGAGGATTGGGAGAATGTCATATGGTCAGATGAAACCAAAATATAACTTTTTGGTAAAAACTCAACTTGTCGTGTTTGGAGGACAAAGAATGCTGAGTTGCATCCAAAGAACACCATACCTACTGTGAAGCATGCGGGTGGAAACATCATGCTTTGGGGCTGTTTTTCTGCAAAGGGACCAGGACGACTGATCCGTGTAAAGGAAAGAATGAATGGGGCTATGTATCGTGAGATTTTGAGTGAAAACCTCCTTCCATCAGCAAGGGCATTGAAGATGAAACGTGGCTGGGTCTTTCAGCATGACAATGATCCAAAACACACCGCCCGGGCAACGAAGGAGTGGCTTCGTAAGAAGCATTTCAAGGTCCTGGAGTGGCCTAGCCAGTCTCCAGATCTCAACCCCATAGAAAATCTTTGGAAGGAGTTGAAAGTCCGTGTTGCCCAGCGACAGCCCCAAAACATCACTGCTCTAGAGGAGATCTGCATGGAGGAATGGGCCAAAATACCAGCAACAGTGTGTGAAAACCTTGTGAAGACTTACAGAAAACGTTTGACCTGTGTCATTGCCAACAAAGGGTATATAACAAAGTATTGAGAAACTTTTGTTATTGACCAAATACTTATTTTCCACCATAATTTGCAAATAAATTCATTAAAAATCCTACAATGTGATTTTCTGGATTTTTTTTCCTCATTTTGTCTGTCATAGTTGACGTGTACCTATGATGAAAATTACAGGCCTCTCTCTTCTTTTTAAGTGGGAGAACTTGCACAATTGGTGGCTGACTAAATACTTTTTTGCCCCACTGTATGGTGCGTAGAAATCCGGAGAGGGTGGCCAGCAGAGATAGGTGGGATGGGCTGAGGGAAGCTGAGGGTTGGGATGTGGAATTAGAGACAAGTGGGAGTGGAGTTGCTGGGCGGGGGATAGAATGACGGTCAAAGATAAAAGTCAAAAAATAAAGTCAAAATAAAACAAAACAAGTAAGTTTGAATGACCCTGAGGGGCAGTGTTGTTACAGCTAATGCCTGTTTGCCTGAGGCTGATGCCGCGCAGGTGTTTGTACACATGCATATACACACACTCTCATTCAAATGCACACATGTGCACATACAGGGACACACACACATACACACATGTAAATAGTGCCATACATGCACTCAAAACATATTCAGTTGGCCTTGTGTTTTTTGTTGTTTTCTGTTTTCCTTTGTCTTTTTTCTCTTTTGTTCATTTTGTTGGTTGTTGGTGTATTTGGGGACGGGGGCTTGGCGGGGACGGGGGCTTGGCGGGGACGGGGGCTTGGCGGGGACGGGGTCAGGGGCTTGGCGGCGACGGGGCGATGGCGGAGACGGGGCGGGGCGGGGACGGGGCGGGGACGAGGGTCTTGGGGGTGGGGAATGGATGATTATTATTATAAATTTTTTCTCGGGGTGGTTGAGGGGCAGCTCTTGGGGAACAGTGGGAGGGATCTTGGAGGGCTGGTGGCCTGGCGATTGGGAGCTTGGGCTGGTGGCTGATAGTTCGCTGGTTCGGGTCCCCGTTTTGACCTTGTGGGAGATCTGTCGACATGCTCTTGAGCAGGGCGTTGACCCTGGTTGCTCTGGATGGGAGTCTGTTAGATGACTAATGTGATGTAGATGTTGAGCTGCTTCACTGCAAGTATATTGTATGTTTTAATATTCAACATAAAAAAAAAAAAGGCATGGTGGTGGTAGTGTGATTGTTTGGGGGTGCTTTGCTGCCTCAGGACCTGGATGACATGCCATAATTGAAGGAGCCATGAATTCTGCTCTGTATCAGAGAATGTCAGGCCATCCATCAGTGAGCTGAAGCTGAAGAACAGCTGGGTCATGTAGCAAGACAATGATCCAAAACACACAAGGAAGTCTACAGCAGAATGGCTGAAAAGCAACACATTTAAAGTTCTGGAATTGCCTAGTCAAAGTCCAGACCTAAACCCCATGAGATGTTGTGGCAGGACCTGAAACGAGCAGTTCATGCTCGAAAACCCATAAATGTCGCTGAGTTAAAGCAGTTCTGCATGGAAGAGTGTGCCAACATTTCTCCATAGAAATGTGAGATACTGATCAACAACTATGGGAAGCATTTGGTTGCAGTCATTGCAGATAAAAGGTGGCACAACCAGTTATTGAGTGTAAGGGGGCAATTACTTTTTCACACCGGGGCATTGGATGTTGCATACTTTAATTAAACATTTTGTGTTATTTGTTCACTCAGGTGTCCTTTATCTAATATTAGGTTTTGGTTGAAGATCTGATAACATTCAGGATCCAAAATATGCAAAAATAGATCAAATCAGATAGGGGGCAAATACTTTTTTTCATGGCACTGTATCTATCTATCTATCTATCTATCCATCCATCTGTCCATCTGTCCGTCTGTCCGTCTATCCATCTATCCATCTATCCATCCATCCATCCATCCATCCATCCATCCATCCATCCATCCATCCATCCATCCATCCATCCATCCATCCATCCATCCATCCATCCATCCATCCATCCATCCATCCATCCATCCACCCGTCTGTCTGCAGAACAAGGATAAGTCAAAGAGAGCAAGGCTGGGTTTAAACGTTAGTGTGTTTATTGTGTTACTCTATAATCATCTTACTTTAGTCTACAGCGCCAACATTTAACGATTTTATTTTAACAATAGTACACTTGAGTTTTATAATATGTAGTCTAATTGTGTCTTTTTAAATATTATTTTACAGTTGACAACAAGATACAGGGTACCGCCAGTAAACAGATGATAGCACACTTCCAGTACTTATCGTATATAAAAAGTCCTGAATCCAAACAATAAATAAAAATGATGTTTTAAACACAAAACATTTACAGCATCATCTTGGTATAGTTATGCATGAAAACATAATGGAATCAGTTGCGATATCAAAAACTTATATTTTTACAGATGCAGTGACAATGATGGACATTGTTTGTTTGGACAATAAAAACACTTTTACATATATGACTGGGAAAGAAACGAGTGCATCAGTTGCAAGATATCATCTAAATACACGTTAGACCTAGTACATCATCTATAACTAACCATTCAATATGTTCAGAATCAACATTATATCAAGATAAATCATTTATGGACGTAACAAAGCACAGGTACAGTTATAGTCCTGGACTTGAACAAGCTCTGAGGTGAAGATTCCCTTGTGTACAGCTCTAGCATCAGCTTCCCCTCCCCCAATCCTAACCTTTACCATTAGTGGTGGAAATGCAAAACTGACAAGATCAGCGTCTGTGGCGTCTTCACCCTACACTACTGGAACAACAGAACAAACATAGTGCCGTCATCCTCATTAATGGACACTTTAAGGGCACTAGAGACTGGATGTCTCCATAGGCGTTAACCTAAAGGAAAGTATTTCATCAAACATCCCATGATCTTAAAAAAAAAAACGTGTTTGCGCGTACATGTGATACCAACTTTTCCTGGATTTCAATGGAAAAATGGAACGTTTTCTCAACTCAGCGATATTCCAGTCGCTTAATAGTCATACAAGTCAAAAATAAAATATTGAACGATTCAGTTTTTCCCCAGGGCCGGCGTTGCTCCTGAGCGGTTTACAGACGGGCAGAAAGAACTACATTATGCTATAGCCATACAGGAAGAGAAAAAGATAACTGTCTGCCAGTTGATTCACACGTCATGGAGTATCATTTCGCATTTCAAGTCATTTATCTTAAAAACAAGAGTCCTTCCTCATATACACGTATATTCACGACGAACAGGAAAACGGAGTATCTCCGTGGAAACCTAGAAAACGCAGCGGAACTGTAAGCATATAGGACATCAAAATGAGGGGCATACACAATAGTAGCCTATATGTACTGACTAAGTGTCAAATAACTAACATTCCGGTATGAGTGTATTTGTTAGCAGAAGTTCTTGTTTCATTGCTTCTTTTCTGTTCCTGGTGGGTATATGAGTTTCTAGGGTTGCAAAATTCTAGTAACGTTCTTAAAATACCCAGGTTTTCCAGAAATCCCATTAGGAAGATTCCTGGAATCAGGAGTAATAAGGAAATATCGGGAATCGTCCAAACAGGATTTCTGAAAAACCTGGGGATTTTGGGAAAGTTACTGGGATTGCGCAAACCTAGGTCATTCTAAAACAGCCTCATGTTTAGGAGCCACCTTAAATCCAATAACCACGTCTGTCTGTCTATCTCTTTGGTCTGTCGATGTCGTCGATAGCCGCCAGGAGTTTCTGCCGGGCCTTCTTGTTGATGTGAGAACCCAGACAAACATTTACCAGGTTGGCCAGCTGCTTCATGGAGTACTCCTGGTGGGACAGACAGACGGACACACATTATGGAGAGACAGTCTTTAGTCTCAGATAGCCTTCAGTCCCAGGAGCAGCAGTCTTCAGCTACAGATAGCCTGACGACCTTCAGTCTCAGATAGTTCTTAAGTTAAGTCTCAGATAGAACCCTTCAGATCCTCAGATAGCCTTCAGTCTCAGATAGCCTTCAGTCTCAGATAGCCTTCAGTCTCAGATAGCCTTCAGTCTCAGATAGCCTTCAGTCTCAGATAGCCTTCAGTCTCAGATAGCCTTCAGTCTCAGATAGCCTTCAGTCTCAGATAGCCTTCAGTCTCAGATAGCCTTCAGTCTCAGATAGCCTTTAGTCTCAGATTGCCTTCAGTTCCAGATAGTCTTTAGTCCCAGATAACCACAGTTACATTAGGTAAGATTGAGGCTAACTATTACGTTTTCACTGCACATGTTTTGGATACCAATGATGCCATAGGCAAGCACATTACAAGATTTGTGCTACACATTGCTGGTAAACGGGGTTGAGCTACCCCCAATAGAATTCACATTAGCACATTGAGCAGACTGAGTGAATAATTATCATTATATTGTAAATCCAAAGCTAACGTGAGCATTCCTCACCCTGTGGTTCTTGATGAACTGTTCCATGTCATTCTCAGTCAGGTAGTAGGCCTTGATGTAGGTCTCCACAAAGTCCTTATCAGGGATGGGCCTCATGTCTGTCAGCTTCTCCAGCTTCATCAGGAACTGCTGGAAGTCCAGCTGCATCAGGGCCCGCCCCTCGTTACTGCACTTCTTCACATTACCATAGCTACAGGACAGAACAGGAGACACAAGTTGACTTTTTGAATACTTTTAAAAATTAATTCTGGGAGACAATAGTTCAGAATTAACGATAGAATAAGTTTAGTTTTTGTTGACAGAAGCTCAGAATCCAGAGTTGTTTATTAGCAACGTTCTAAAAACATGGCATTTGTATTCTTAGTGCCCAAGGCACATGAATGAAGAACAAAAATGTAAAACTGAGAAAATCTGAAATCGACAGAGCCTTAAGGGTTCAATCTTAATTCTGCTGTCCCAGACAGTTCAAGGGTTCTCAGTTTCTTTTAGTCCAAAAAAAGTTCAACAAGTAACATTTATATATTCATATTGTTCACTTTATAAACGTTATCTTCGCAGCATGTCTGGATTTTAGTGTGTGTGTAGTGGAGTGGAACCACGTCCACCAGATCAGTGGCTGCTGACATCCATGTTGGCGCTGGTCTTGACAGAGGCGTAATTGCTTTCTGGGAAAGAGACATACTGTGAGAGAGACCTCTCTCCTCCTGTCTCTCTTTCTCTCTCTTTCTTTCTTTCTTTCTTTCTTTCTCTCTTTCTTCCTTTCTCTCCCTGCCTCCCTCCTATCTCGATCTCCCTCCATCCCTTTCCCCTCTCTCTCTGCCCCTCTCTCCCTCTCCCTCTCCCTCTGTCTCTGAGGTTGCCAGTCCCCCAGGGTGAGACAGTGAGTGGTGAGTCAGACTGTCAAGCGGCTCCATCTCCTCTCTGAGGAGTCCAGTTGGGAGTGGGAATGAAGATAACAAATACAGCAAACAAGTGAACGAGCAAAACAAACAAATAGACAGACAGACTTGCCTAGCCACTCTATCATAGTGGTGGGGGGAGGGAGGTGACTTGGCGTGATCTGATTTGACCAGGGCCCATAGGGCCCAAAGTAGTGCACTATATAGGGAATAGAGTGCCATTTGGGATGCAGCCTCAGTCAGTCCAGGACCTTGGGGACACACAGGGATGGGAATCCCAGAGACTAAACCCAGTCTGGGAGGGCAGCTGAGAGGGAAAGACTGAGAGCTGAGAGAGGCAGACACTTGTGAAGGAGCTCCACAGGTCTAATACTGATACACAGGCCATGTCCATGATGATGTGTGAAGTAGAGAATGAAGAGGACCCTGTATAGTGTATTACATGTTAGTTGTACACCTTTGGGATATCTTTTCCCAAAACCCTAACCCTGGCTTTCCTGTATTGTGATTCCTTTTCAAAACCCTAACTAACCCTGACTAACCCTAACTAACCCCAGCCCTGTCCTTAGCACTTAAAACCCTACCTAACCCTAGCCCTGGCCTTAGAACATAAAACCCTAACTATCCCTAGCCTTAGAACATAAAACCCTAACTATCCTACCCTGGCCTTAGAACAAAAACCCAACTATCCCTGGCCTTAGAACATAAAACCCTAACTATCCCTGGCCTTAGAACATAAAACCCTAACTATCCCTAGCCCTGGCCTTAGAACATAAAACCCTAACTATCCCTAGCCCTGGCCTTAGAACATAAAACCCTAACTATCCCTAGCCTTAGAACATAAAACCCTAACTATCCCTAGCCCTGGCCTTAGAACATAAAACCCTAACTATCCCTGGCCTTAGAACATAAAACCCTAACTATCCACCCTGGCCTTAGAACATAAAACCCTAACTATCCCTGGCCTTAGAACATAAAACCCTAACTATCCCTGGCCTTAGAACATAAAACCCTAACTATCCCTAGCCCTGGCCTTAGAACATAAAACCCTAACTATCCCTAGCCCTGGCCTTAGAACATAAAACCCTAACTATCCCTAGCCTTAGAACATAAAACCCTAACTATCCCTAGCCCTGGCCTTAGAACATAAAACCCTAACTATCCCTAGCCTTAGAACATAAAACCCTAACTATCCCTAGCCTTAGAACATAAAACCCTAACTATCCCTAGCCCTGGCCTTAGAACATAAAACCCTAACTATCCCTAGCCCTGGCCTTAGAACATAAAACCCAAACTATCCCTAGCCTTAGAACATAAAACCCTAACTATCCCTAGCCCTGGCCTTAGAACATAAAACCCTAACTATCCCTAGCCCTGGCCTTAGAACATAAAACCCTAACTATCCCTAGCCTTAGAACATAAAACCCTAACTATCCCTGGCCTTAGAACATAAAACCCTAACTATCCCTGGCCTTAGAACATAAAACCCTAACTATCCCTAGCCCTGGCCTTAGAACATAAAACCCTAACTATCCCTAGCCCTGGCCTTAGAACATAAAACCCTAACTATCCCTGGCCTTAGAACATAAAACCCTAACTATCCCTGGCCTTAGAACATAAAACCCTAACTACTTAGAACATAAAACCCTAACTATCCTAGCCCTGGCCTTAGAACATAAAACCCTAACTATCCCTGGCCTTAGAACATAAAACCCTAACTATCCCTGGCCTTAGAACATAAAACCCTACCTAACCCTAGCCCTGGCCTTAGAACATAAAACCCTACCTAACCCTAGCCCTGGCCTTCTGAACTCTAAACTTCCAAACTTCGTTTACACAGGCAGCCCCAATTCTGATCTTTTTTCAGATCTGCACTAAAAAGATCTGATGTAAAAAGATCTGATGTGATTGGTCAAAAGACCAATTACTGGCAAAAATACCAGAATTGAGCTGCCTTACAGTCCAGCTCAGCAAAATCAACCTGGATTTAAAAAAAAAAAAAACACACTACCCAGTTCCCTACCAGTCCACCACTATGTAACACTCTCAGAAACGTTGTGCTTGTGCCTCATCTTTTTAAAACTTAATCACAAGATGGTCAGAGGTATTATGAAAGCTTTTTATTTCCCCATGTCGCCTCCATTAATGCCATGCCTCTCTGGCCTAAAGAGGATGTCTCACCTGGCCATATAAAACCCTGCCTGCCAGTACTCCTACTTCACACACACGCACACAGACACACAGACACACAGACACACACACACACACACACACACACACACACACACACACACACACACACCATAAATAATGCATTGGACAGAGAAAGAGGGTACAAGTGCTGATTTGAGGAAAAAATGCATTTGTCTCTTTCAGGCCCCAAACCTTTGACTGACTAGCGAGGGATATGGTTGTTATGGGAGCCATTTAGAATGTGTCAAGTGTTTAGAGGGGACTCAGGCCAGCCTCGTGTCAGACATGTTCCCTGTGGGGTCTCTATAACAGAACGTATAACAGTCCTGGGATGGAGTGTTGGGGTTGGGGAGAAAGAGGCACAAAGAGTTAGCTAGTTGCTACCATATGGAGGGGATGACAGGACTGAAGAGGAGTTGTCTCAGGAGAATGAGAGAAAGCTGGAGAAAAGCTTGGAATGCTCACATCTCGAGTTCTTATCTAGTAGGCAATCGGCGTGTTCCTTTGCGGTACTCTAACATGTAGTTTTTTTTCATTTATGACAAGCAGATGTTCCAACAAGAGGATGTTCAAAGCTTGAGAAGAAAAAGAGGGGGTGGGGGGGAGGGGAGTAAAGAAAATATATTCAAACTTTTCTTGATCGATGGTCGGGCTTGAAGCACCTTGTGGTGGTGTCTTACTGCAGGAGACGACAGGGGCTCCAAGCCGGCCTTAATCAATAACTCATCTGAGGTATTCGGCATATGACACGCGAACAGCGCTCATATTTATGAGCGTACCTGGGAGCAAAGAACAGGCCCCTCGACCAAAAAGGCGAAATACGTCAAAATAAGAGATGAATGAGGCAGCAAAAATTACCACACCTCTCCAATCCACTGGCAGTAAATCCCTGTATTCCACAGGTACATACTAGCATATCCCCGAGTGATTAACTATTGCTATAAGCCATCATTGAATGAGCAGTAGGTTTGTGTTCAAACATTTTCTTTTTCCTGCCGTGCCTATCAGAAGATCTTTGCTGGCATTACAACTAGTCAGCAGCTTTTTGCTGCTCATAAAAAAAAGTATATATATATCTTTTTTAAAGGGCTGATTCTTACTTTTAAAATACACTATCACATAAACTATAGGTGGATACAAAGAGCCATATTTACTATTTTTGCATATTTTTTATTTACTGGAATAATATGATGGATAAGGCCCCACTCAGCCCCTTAATAAATGCTGCAGTATAACAACTTTTTCAGCAGATATCTAGAAATCCATAAAAGTATTTTGTAAATCAAAGTAAGCAGGAGTTGTTTCTCCATCTTCTGAAGCCTACTCGCCTCTCCAATGATATCTGCTGAAACATTCATGTTTTTAACTATAAATCAGTCCAAGTATTTAGTATATGCAAGTAAACAACTTACCCCTCCACCAGAGTCCTGTTGGCCAGACGGATGCAGTGTTCCCACAGGACATTAGACACAGGCAGAGGGACCCGGACGTGTCTGGACACATCACCCAGCCTCTTGTTAAACTCTTCAAACTCCTGAGGAACAAAAAAACATAACATTCGGTTCGTTTTTTTATTTATGTTTTTAGTCCAGTGATAAATATTTTACAAAGAAATCATTGGGGATTTCAAGACTTCTCATGTCTACTAAAATCCAGTTAGCTATAAATAATTGTTTTAGCAGAGGTACACTACATGACCAAAAGTATGTGTACACCTGCTCGTCGAACATCTCATTCCAAAATCATGGGCATTAATATGGATTTGGTCCCCCTTTTGCTGCTATAACAGCCTCCACTCTTCTGGGAAGGCTTTCCACTAGATGTTGGAACACTGCTGCGGGGGACTTGCTTCCATTCAGCCACAAGAGCATTAGTGATGTTGGGCGATTAGGCCTGGCTCGCAGTCGGAGTTCCAATTCATCCCAAAGGTGTTCGATGGGGTTGAGGTCAGCGCTTTGTGCAGGCCAGTCAAGTTCTTCCACACTGGTCTCAACAAACCATTTCTGTATGGACCTCACTTTGTGCACAGGGGCATTGTCATGCTGAAACAGGAAAGGGCCTTCCCCAAACTATTGCCACAAAGTTGGAAGCACAGAATCGTCTAGAATGTCATTGTATGCTGTAGCGTTTAGATTTCCTTTCACTGGAACTAAGGGGCTAGCCCGAACCATGAAAATCAGCCCCAGACCATTATTCCTCCTCCACCAAACTTTACAGTTGGCACTATGCATTGGGGCAGGTAGCATTTGTGTCTATGGAGATTGCATGGCTATGTGCTCGATTTTATACACCTGTCAGCAACAGGTGTGGCTGAAATTGCCAAATCCACTAATTTGAAGGGGTGTCCACAAACTTTTGTATATATAGTGTACTTTAATTAGTAACGTTGACTGTACTTTGTATTTTGTTTGTTGATGAGCTAACGGCCAGTTCAACAGATTCTACTGCAGAGCTGTTGAATAACGTTGGTCGACATGCGTTCTCATTAAAACAGCAGAGCAGACATCCACGTAACCTTTCAGCAGTCACATTCTCCCCACAGATGTATCAGCAACTCTTACAAGATGGCTGCCGGCCGTGCTCCATTCCAACATGAGCAGCGGAGACGTCAGTCATGGACGTGTTGATTCAGCTGGCCCATTTCTCTTTTCTTTCATTTCACTCCAAAAAAGATCAGATGTTTTTAGACACAAAGACGTATCGCTCCGACGTTCTCCACACGCCAAAAGCTACACGCATCACGGCGTTCTTTCTTACACCTTGTTTGTTGTCGAGTCAAACGTACAGACTAGGAAGTCAGAAAAAGGCTAGCAATCCTTCAAAACATTTTCCTCACTCTACTTCACCTTCTCAATTTGGGTGACTGATTTACTGTGCACCTAAACCAAACACACATGAACACAAAATGAATGGAGGCAATTATGGTGAAGGGTGTATTTGTGTAACGGTTTATGCTGGCAAAATGCAGAGTACAGGAAATGGAAAGAGGTTGTGCATACTAAGGTAGTGCATCCGATTGGCATAATTCACAAGAAGAAATAGAATGCGACAATTTCATTAGTCATAAACCTAAAAATAAGTTTTCTCCCGCATTATGTTGAGTGCTTGAAAGTAATGAACGACTGAATTGAAAGTCTTCTCAAACAAAATTGTTGTGCATTCAAAACACTCACATTTGAAAAACCTGGTTGGTAAACGAGACAATGTCAGTGCAACAATTGACAATCGAATGCAAATATAAGCTAATTTTGGACGCTAATATTCAACAGAAACTCATGAATACAACATTCTACACAGTACAGTATCATGTCCTATACAATACAAGCCTGTATCAATAAGCTGTCAATCATAGCCCATACTGAACAATGTCTATCTCAGAAATAGACTGGATGAGCAGCAGACGTTTGAACCTGACACTTACTCTCTTGAAATAGAAATAGTAATGCTTTTCTACCTAATACCTTGTTGAAATACATGTCACACACACCTTGTTGTATAACATTTTTTAAATGTTTATTTATTTTACTTTTTACTCTCAGGTCTACTGCGATCCTTGATATGGCAAACACATTTAAATCAAGCCAGTGAGGCAGACACTTTTCGTCTCACTATTTGGCTTAAACAAAATTAGTTAGGCTTAGAGATACTTAAGAGCCGTCTTCCAGCCAGCCGATCCACAGATCCAGAAAGGTGAGCCTAAGTGAAAACTCCCAAGAATTGAATGCGGTTTGCTCGGAACGGTTCAGGATTTAAAGCTATGGCTGCTCAGACAGACATGCTTATGCATATTTGAGGGATTCTCTTGGCTTCCGGCTCGCAAATAAGGCCCACGGTCAATTCCAATGTAAAACACCCATCTGTTCCTCAACACTAGATCCCTCTCTCTCCGTATGCTCCGGCTACATTCTAAACATGCCACGCAGAGACATGCATCCCCTGGGTGCAAAATGCATGATGGGATAAGCGTAAGGCATGAATACCAATTTGATACTCATTTGAGAGAAACCTTTAAGCCTGAAAATAGATACAGTAGGCGACGAAGAGGCTCACCTTTCCTTAACAAACCTCAAATTTAGCTCCCCCAATCTGCATTAAACTCACCAAATCTCTTCCGTTGTTTGAATTATTCAAACCCTAGCAGGCAAATAATTGATATCGGAAGACCTCTCAAAGTGATTAGGAGAAAAAGAGGAGGAAACCTTTGACAAAAATCTCCACATGTTGAAAGAGATTAAAAGTTGTCGAGGACATTGTGCTTCCGGAGTCGCCAGAAAAAGATGTCTAAAAAAAAAATCCCTATTTGAAAGACCTCCCTGCATTTCAAATACTTTTCTAATAGACAATCTGAACAGAGAGATAAAATCTTTAGGTCCTAACCTTCTTGCAGAAGAAATCGCCAATACAACTCCTAAAGTATTTTGGGTATTTTCCTTCCTGCAGTGCATTTAAAATGTTCACAGGGAGAAGGAGAGAGAGAGCTGTGGGGGCCGTGTGGTGACTAGCCGGTTTCCCATGAGGTACTGTATGTGTACTCTACTGTGGGACCCAGGAGAACATCACTAAACCTGAACTACTCTGGTACGGATATACAGCTGTCCAACTGGGAAACATGCCCGTATACTGCTTGCTATAAACAGACAAACAAACAAAATGAAATATGAACACCACTCCATTTTGAACAAGCTACAACATATTACATCTAGTCACGTGGTGTAGCCTAACTAAAATAGATGAGATTAGATCTGTGATTGAATTGTCTGCACAATGTAAAGTGCTTTGAGAAACAGGGGAAAGCTCAATGCAAATTCAACCTATTAACTACTGTGGTCTTTTACCAAATATGGCTATCTTCTGAATACCACCCCTACCTTGTCACAACACAACTGATTGACTCAAACGCATTAAGGAAATAAATTCCACAAATTAACTTTTAACAAGGCACACCTGTTAATTTAAATACATTCCAGGTGACTACCTCATGAAGCTGGTTGAGAGAATGCCAAGAGTGTGCAAAGCTGTCATCAAGGCAAAGGGTGGCTATTTGTAGAATCTAAAATATATTTTGGTTTGCTTAACACTTTTTTTGATTACTACATGATTCCATATGTGTTATTTCATAGTTTTGATGTCTTCACTATTATTCTACAATGTAGAAAATAGTAAAAAGAAAGAAAAACCCTTGCATGAGTAGGTGTGTCCAAACTTTTTACTGGTACTGTATAAAAATACATGTTACAGAAATAATTATATTTATATGTCTTGGTATGGAGACAAGCCTCTTTTTCAAGTCCTAAGTCAGGTCTCCACATAGACTGATTTGACATGACTGTGGCACCACCACTGTGTTCCAGCTGTCACGCCCTGACTCAGGGGACGGTTATTTGTTGAGTCAGGGTGTGTATATTTCGTGTTGTGTTTATTTCTATGTTTAGTTTCTAGATCGTTTAGATCTATGTTGGCCAGGGTGGTTCCCAATCAGAGACAGCTGTAGCTCGTTGTCTCTGATTGGGGACCATACTTAGGCAGCCTTTTGGCACCAGTCTGTGTGGGATCTTGTTCCGTAAAGGTATGTTATTAGTCTACCTTGGACTTCACGTTTCGTTTGTTGTTTTTGTCGTGTGTTCAGTACGTCAATAAATATGAATGCACATCACGCTGCGCCTTGGTCCTTCTCGTTAATGAACGATCATGACAGAAGATCCCACTAATCCTGGATCAAGCAGCGTGATGAGGAGAGAGGATGGACTTGGGAGGAGATGAGCGAGAGTCTGGCAAGAGGGATGGAGGCTATGATCACGGGGGAGAGACAAGCCCAAAACATTTTTAGGGGGGGGGCACGCCGTGGATGACGAGGCAGCAGGAGGCCGCGATAGAGCGGTTCAGCCGTTTAGCAGAGGAGGCCGCCAGATTAAGGGGGTCATTGGTGCAGAGGGAGCAGAGGGAAAGTGTAGAGGCACGGCGAGAGGAGCTGGTTAGGCAGCAGAAGGAGCGGGGGTTAATGAAGGAACCCAGTCCCGCTCCTCGCACTAATCAAGTGGTGCGTGTCGCCAGTCCGGTCCGGCCCGGCCCGGCCCTGATTCCCGCACTAAGCCAGTGGTGGGTGTTCCCAGCCCAGTCCGGCCCGTTCCTGCTCCCCGCACCAAGCCAGTGGTGCGTGTCGTCAGCCCAGTCCGGCCCGTTGCTGCTCCCCGCACCAAGCCAGTGGTGCGCGTCGTCAGCCCAGTCTGGCCCGTTCCTGCTCCCCGCACCAAGCCAGTGGTGCGCGTCGTCAGCCCAGTCCGGCCCGTTCCTGCTCCCCGCACCAAGCCAGTGGTGCGCGCCGTCAGCCCAGTCCGGCCCGTTCCTGCTCCCCGCACCAAGTCAGTGGTGCGCGTCGTCAGCCCAGTCCGGCCCGTTCCTGCTCCCCGCACCAAGCCAGTGGTGCGCGTCGTCAGCCCAGTCCGGCCCGTTCCTGCTCCCCGCACCAAGCCAGGGGTGCGCGTCGTCAGCCCAGTCCGGCCCGTTCCTGCTCCCCGCACCAGGCCAGTGGTGCGCGTCGTCAGCCCAGTCCGGCCCGTTCCTGCTCCCCGCACCAAGCCAGGGGTGCGCGTCATCAGCCAGGTCCGGTCCGTTCCTGCACCCCGCACCAAGCCAGTGGTGCGTGTGTCCAGTCCGGCACGGCCCGTGCCTGTTCCACCGGTGCTTGGTCCGGCACCGGTCAGCTGCTCCACTCCGGAGCCAGAGCAATCCGCTCCACCGGGGTCCAGTCCAGCCCCGGTCAGCGGCTCCACTCCGGAGCCAGAGCAGTCCGCTTCACCGGTGCCTGATCCAGCTCCAGTCAGCGGTTCCAGACCAGACCAGGGGCGCAACGGGGAGGTGGAGAGTAAGTGGTGGTTACACCCGGAGCTGGATCCGCCTCCGAGGCGGAATGCCCACCCGGCCCCTACACTATTAGGTTTATGTGGCGCGGTCGGAGTCCGCACCTTTGGGGGGGGGGGGGTACTGTCACGCCCTGACTCAGGGGACGGTTATTTGTTGAGTCAGGGTGTGTATATTTCGTGTTGTGTTTATTTCTATGTTTAGTTTCTAGATCGTTTAGATCTATGTTGGCCAGGGTGGTTCCCAATCAGAGACAGCTGTAGGTCGTTGTCTCTGATTGGGGACCATACTTAGGCAGCCTTTTGGCACCAGTCTGTGTGGGATCTTGTTCCGTAAAGGTATGTTATTAGTCTACCTTGGACTTCACGTTTCGTTTGTTGTTTTTGTCGTGTGTTCAGTACGTCAATAAATATGAATGCATATCACGCTGCGCCTTGGTCCTTCTCGTTAATGAACGATCGTGACACCAGCATGCATTCTAAACTCAGCAAAAAAAGAAACGTCCTCTCAATGTCAACTGCGTTTATTTTCAGCAAACTTAACATGTGTAAATATTTGTATGAACATAAGATTCAACAACTGAGACATAAACTGAACAAGTTCCACAGACATGTGACTAACATAAATTGAATAATATGTCCCTGAACAAAGGGGGGGTCAAAATCAAAAGCACCAGCAGCATTAGGTACTGCAGTGCATCTCCTCCTCATGTACTGCACCAGATTTGCCAGTTCTT